CATTTTACGCAAGTTTGCGCCCAATTACGAACAGGTAAGGAATTAGTCGTTGATATTCAGGTAATATAAACATTCGGTCAGTATGCCAAACTATCGAAACATGCGAATTTAGGCTGACCAATTACAGAATCGGTGGTATTCTACGATAGTCTGAAAAGTGATATTGTATGGACACTTGTGTTCGATAAAACTGACATAGCTCAAGTAACAAATGGTCATAAAGTTGTTTTTGGGCAGTTATTTGCCATAATGTGATCGTCCATTAAGATGCTGAAATAATCTTTAAAATCAAAGGTCTATCGTCCTCGGGTTGGGACTCTCTTCATCTCACTGAGGGACCAACATATAAAACCATTCATCTCCTTGAACAGGTCACATCAACCTAATTGCTAAGGTTGATCATTTTTAACTAGGATTTTCGAAACATGATTTAGATGCGATAAAAATTAGAAGTAATCTAAATTACTTTCCTTATTATTGAACACTAGTTTATTTGTTGCGTTGTCGTTTAGTTGTTGTTTAGTTGCAGCATTTACACCTTCGGTTAGGAATTGCGGTGTCTTGGAGTAGGTTCTTTTTTTGTCGGCTAACTTCCTCAGTAAGAGTATACATGTCAAAAGTGATCCACTGCTACTAGATACGGAAGCAAACTAAGCGAAAGCTTCTTTTATTCAATTCAGAGCGATTTCAATCGTTTAATTTCTTTGTTACAGGTTGTGGTCTGTGCACAGTTATAGCAAACGATCCCTGTTATCTGTCCTGCTACCAACAAGTCCCCATCGGCCACCTAAACGACTCTGTTCTGTGCCTAGACGCCCGACCTAAGCATTCAAGTCTCCGGCTAGTACTACAATATCTGTCGAACGCGCTTTCTGGAGAAGAACTGTTAACTGGTGGTAAAACTCATCCTTGATTGCATCCAGGCTGCAATCTGTCGGGGCATAGGCGGAGATGACGAAAAGACACCGTTTCTCACGCCGGTTTCTTCTCACCTTGATGGAACTTTCTAATCTAACAACACATAACCGACTGTTAATGGGGATCTAATCGATTAGTGCTACCTCAGCCCTAGCGCTTAGTGCAACACCAACGCCAGCAAGACCAGACGAAGATGCCACAGATTCCCCGGATAAGCGCACGTGAAACAAGCTTTTGGAGGCGACAGATGGAGAGCGGATTTGTAGTACTTCACTAGAACTAGAGTCTTGAATACGGGTCTCGGATAGACAGCAAACATCAACATTAAGACTTTCTAAAGACATAGCCAGCCCCATCTGTTGTCCGATCTGCATTAGCGTGCGAACGTTGAAGGAAGCCAGCTTGAACGGCGTACGTGGTTTCAGAAAGACTGCTTCAGTATTCATAATCGGTGGAAGCATTTACTTTCAACCAGATAGTGACTGGAGATCGTTTAGATAGGACAGAGTTTCCACCATGAGTGAGCTACTGCATAAGTTGAAAAGGAAGGATACACAATTTGGGAATAAAGGGAGTGAAAAAGCTACGTAGTAAATAATAGTAATAATAATAGTGTAAATTGTCTTGCTTCTAATATGAGCGAGAATAGTATCGTCAATAGAATTCATCATTTCATTTATTTGTGTGTGGGCTGTGATACTGCCGGGTGCCCATACCGAAGCAGGTGGTTTTCTTAGGGGGCCACACCCCGAGCCTTTAACCTAAAGGTCTGATCCACAAGGCAGTGGAGCATCGTGAGGAGATGCAGTCCCGTGGTAGTCGGTGACCAACAGCAGGTTCATTCGCCATTCGTTCCATTAGGATACTGGAGCCCATGTGCACCATTGGTTAGGAATCAGGGTTTTCCAACTCCCCTAGGTGGACCCTCCGTGCACACCAACCCGGTGAAAGCGCCGGACATTCGCTTTTCGTCCTCTCACTTTCGTAAACAACACCCCCGCCACGAGAAGGCAGTGAGTAGAACTTCCCTGGCAGAGGCTATATATTCGCTGGCCATGTGAGAGCATTTGGAGAGGGAGAGTGGACTCTCCCCACTCTCGGCCGTACCAGGGCATTTGTGGGCGTGCAATAGAAAAACAAACTTCGACTAATAAATGTAAAGAATTACCTATAAATACAATTGTAAAGCTCAATAAAATTGATATCATTGAAAAGAAAGTTTTCTTCGCCAAAACACCATTCTTTTTTATTAGTCAGTGGGTTTCGCTTTTATTCAGTATATGTTTATCAAAATAATGTTTTATATTTGACTAACTTCGTAGTTACAATTCTTGTCTTACAGAGGTTATTTTTCATTTCTTCGAATCAACTGACATTCAGCCAGTTTAGATGACTACATACCCGTTGAATATGATGTTGCAACACTTGGTAAGTCTGATCCAAATCTGTGTCACTATTTTGTAAGATTCCAATAATAATTTAGCTTAACACATATAGTAATGATCTATAGGTCAAAATAAAGCTTATAGTAAGATGAATATGGATACACACAACCTAATTACTCAATAATTATACAATAAGAACATTTATGGAATATTAGTCTATTACTAGTTCACAGAAGTTACCCGTACTTTAACCTTCACTAGGATATAACAGTATATAGAGATGCCCTTGTTTTATTGGGTCACTTGGGAATGATAACCATTGATATCAGCTGTCTCGTGAACCTCAACTTATCAGCAACCTACATTTCTCCAATATAAGTTAACCTGGCTACTAGGATCCCTCCACTTTATCTTATCACTGAGTTGTTTTCCTCATTCAACTACTATTCCATTCAAAATATTAATTTTCATTAAGAAATGGCTTTACCAACAGTGCTGTTCACTTTTTGTTTCCAATTCTCTTGACCAATTTTCTTTCATTATCTAAGACCTGTAACTTCGACGGCATGTAGACAGTGGATCCATCACACCTGAATGAGTGATTTCTCAAAGATATTGTTGAATAAGTATAAATATTCATAATGTTTGTATTTGTTGGACATTCGACATTCATTTCTTGAGCAATTTGAAATCACTGGCAACAGTTCAGAGTAAAATTAAATCGAAATAAACTAAAAAAGATTGCGGTTTTTAATAATCTAATTTTCAATTACCTATTTCTAACGTCAAATCAGTCAGTCACAACGTAGAAGTTCGTACGTACGTACATCAGTTCGAGTTGCCATACCACATTAGCACAGATATGCAGTTGTCAATTCAAATCTTATTGTGGTAGAAGTAGTAGGAGTATAATCAGAAATCCAAAAGATTAGGGTTTGAAGAAATTATTGAAGGAGTATAGTACAGTGAAATAAATTTGGAAAGAGAAAAAGGATACAGACATGAAGAATCCAGATTAGAATTTGGTAGAACACAAAGAGTGGATATACCTTCGCCATTGCAAACGATTTTGAGCCATGTCATTCAAGGTCTCTAACCATCGGTTGCTATCATCTCGCGAATCCCAACCAGGTAGTCTACACCTACCAACATAGCCCAGTCCACTTGTCAGTGACTTCATTGATTCGTGCCACGTTTTGGTCTGGCCACCCCTAGCTTTCTTCTAACCTAATCCTACACCATGAAACATTGCACGTCGGGGCAGTCGGTGGTTGGGCATACGTAACACATGTCCCAGCCATCTCAACTGATCAAGTTTCACTACTTCATCAATCGATTTGCCATCCCTACCTAGTAATCGTTTCCTAACAACTGCATTACTTACCCGGTGGTCCCAAGATATACGAGCAATGCTTCGAAGACACCTATGATCGAACACTAGTAGCCTACGAATATCCTCTACTCTTATTGGCCATGTTTCACTACCATAAAGTAGGACGGAGCGAACTGCTGCACGGTAAAACCGTCCTTTGGTTGCTAGACGGATATCTCGCGTACGCCATAAATGACGCAAGTTTGCAAAAGCTAGACGAGCCTTCTGTATCCGTGCTGAGATTTCGTCACATACCAGACCACAAGGGCTGATGAGACTCCCAAGATAAGTGAAGTGGTCTACACGCTCAACAACTTCACTCCGTATCATTAGTTCAGGTGTCGATGCAACCCAATCGTGAAGTAACATTTTGCACTTCGAGGGAGAGAATCGCATTCCGAACATGCCTGCATAGTTGCTTATAGTGGTCAGAAGACTCTGCATGTTGTCAGCGTCTTCACCGAGTAAAACTATGTCGTCGACGTATTCTAAGTCAACAAGTGAGCCTTCTGGTAAAAGTTCAACTCCTGGGGGTTTAGCTGATGAAAGTGCTATCTCTGAAAGTATAGTAACGTATAGTATAGTAACGTCAAATAATTGTTATTGAATCAATTGTGTTTTGTTTTTATTCTCTCACTAGCTAACTTACGTACGTTCATTTTGCTCGGTTCGATATATAGTTAAATTCTTGCCAAACGGTTCATTGGCTCCGAGATTGAATATTGATAGTAATGTATTATTAAGTAAAAACTCAGAATATGATGATTGTGATTGTTCAGCATCAGATTCCAATGTGGTAAGCTCAATTATTATTATTATTATTATTATTATTATTATTATTATTATTATTATTATTTGAACTTACTATGCTATTTGTTTTGCATGTACTCAATTATGTCATCCCTTTCGTGGAACCATTTGTCTTATCTGCAAAGACATCGGTAATGCTATGGTAAATACTAATGTACAATAAATAATTAATTACTTGGGTATGGATCATACTCTAAGTGTGTAGAATACCGACTCCCTATCTAGAAGTGTTATCACAAAGAGATGTATCTTCAATTTACTTTTCACGTTTAACGATACAATTTGCAAGGATCTTCCCCTATATCTCCTATTAATTAATTTATGAATAAGAGAAGAATCATTTCTTCTTCAGTCATTTTCAAGATCCGTATTATAAAATGGATCTTAACAGGAATTCCTTTTGATAGAAACTCGATACTCTACTAGTTATTAAAATTTTTAATAGTTTCATTATTTAATGATCACAATAATTAATCTCTTTTTTATTGTTTATTCCACATATTATTTTGTTTTAGTTATATACTTCAAGTTATACAGATCCTATCAATAGTAATGATGATGATAGTTATAACGAACCAAATCGGAATTCACATTTAACTTCTTTACCCTGTTACAATGACAATCGAGATACTGTTTCCAGTTCATTTTCTATTTTTAATTCACATAAAAATTTTAAAAATTATCAAGAGTCTAATGTTCCAGTGTATTATGTTGGTTCATTTTCCAATATATATACCAGTTTACCAGATTCTGAAATAAAATCTATAAAAAACATTACTGGTGATAATAATGATCAAAAATTAATTATGAAATCAAACAAAACACAGTACAGTAATTATAGGTATCGTGGAAAAAATAAAAGAGGTATGTGATTTTATCTTTTGTATAATTTTGGTAAATTGAATGTAAAGTTTTGCGTACTGTTGCAGAAATAATTTTATGACGGTAGATGGTTAGAGCTGATCGACAGGAACTCCTAGATTAGGTCTTCTGCTAGTTGACACTTGTCATCATTTCACCACATCCATTTCAGGTGGCATCTGTCCATATTATTTCGTTGTTTGATAATAATAAAACCCACGATTTTGTAGAAAATAAACTGTGAATACATCTGTGATATTGCAACCGATTTCAAGCTGTATCATAGCTAAAGTCTCAAAACGCTATCCATTGTGATTATCATGTGGACCTCAAACAGAAAGTCAACGCCTTGACACAATTGAAACCCCACTACTGATCAGTCGCTTTATGGACAGTGATAATACATGTTTTTAGCTTGACTTCTTCTAACTTGTTCCTATGTGCAAACGACCACCATTGCACATATTTTAGTAGACAGTTGAATATTTGGATTTGCTAGACTTTCCAATTGTTGTAAGTATGCTTATTTTTTTTATTATTGTTGAGTAGTCAATTACTAACCGTAAACGTTTTTTATTCATACTGAAAAACATTTATTATATAGGAAAGCGCCTTAAAGAGTCTACTAAAAATAATGGCAAATTGTATCATAATAATAATACTTCAGATACTACAGACAGCTCTGATGAACATTTTCATTCATCATCTAGATCAAATCGTATTTCACAATTAGAAGCTGAAATTTCTCGTTTAAGATCACAAATTGCTCAGTTAATTTCGGCTCAAGAATTAGGCGAATCAAGCACATGTGACTTAGGACGAGATCGCTTTCCTCATCGTCCAGATGCAGATGGTGAGAGTGATACTGCCATCGCCGCCACAGGATCACCTAGTTTGATGGAACATGATGAAACAAAGTTTAACAACAATTTGTTAGAATCTAATATTCCTTCAGCTAGTTTAATTTCGACATCATTAATACTACCGCCGCCGCCACCACCACCGCCCATGATTTCTTCACCTGCACTACAAGGAGGAGCAAATGGTAGTAGTAATTGGAGAGAACAATTGCAAGCAAGGTTAAGAAGTAAAAAGGTATAGTTCAAAGAAATTTAGTCCTCTCTATGTATGTGATTTTTATTTCACAGCTAGGAACTTTTTTGATAATTAATCGTTGGTTGTTTTCGGTTAGACCAAACGGCAAGCTTTATTTCTATATACATCACATTTCATGCTACAATTTTGAGTAGACTTTGAGCATAAAATTGTCCTTTTTAATATTTTAATTATCACTCATAAGTATTTTGTTAAGATCACAATATATTTGATGATGGACCTTTTTCTGCCGTCTGTTGGAAAAGGCACTCATTATTGCCTTACACTGTTCCTTTTTCATACACATGTTCAAACATCTTTAATATTTAACTATTTGTTTCCTTTTATTATTTATTTAATTAAACACGTAAACATTGGTACAAAGGGGTACCTAAAAATATATATATATATATACAGCCGAGTTTCCATTTTTATTATCTGACAATTAAATTCTCTTCTGTTTAATACTATGAGTTGCTCAGGGAGAAGTAGCTACCAATCCTTGGATTTTAACATTTCCTAATTTGTTATTACATTTAATACCGGTAATATCCTATTTACATTGATTGATCACTGAGTAGTTGTGATTGTCATGTTTGTTTAGTCTTTAGTATTGATAAACTTCTGTTGATTTATAAGTTACTACTCTAAGTGATCTTACATCTTGTGCGCTATATTTTAGTTTAGTCTGCAGAAGACCCTGTTCGATATGGGTTTTGTGGTAGTTGGCACTTATCAGCAAAGCGCAACTGCCAATCTCTTGAGAAGTTATTCTTCCTAGTGGGTTCGAACATGACTTTCCATGTTACATGGTCTTAGGCGTTGCCAGTGAACTATTTGGGTAGTGATCTACCTCCTGGAATACTGAGATACTTACATTAGTTGATCATTGAATATTGGTCTTCATCCTTTAATCTTTTCTGATTATAGTTGACTATTGATCATGCATATAATTTGTATTTTGGATGAGCAATTTAACATGTAATTATTCTTGCATATTTATTTAACTGCTAATGTACTTCTTGCTAGTAGTTCAGTGAATGTTATTTGTTTTTATACGAACCAAATTTGTGTTGAACTACTGATGAGTTGTTATCTGGAGAATTCCACTTTTGGTATAATGATGGTGATTAATCGACGTAAAGTAATTACGAATTTAGAGCTGTGGGTTCACACTAATAAGGAGAATATTTTGATTGGATGCCAAAGCTATAAACATGGGAACTTTTATTTTCTTATTTATTCTTATTAATTTAAGAGAAATTGTTTCCTTATTTCAGTTATAAAATAACTTTGTATATCTTTTTCAGAATAATTGCACAGATAAAACATCTACACCAATAAAAAGTAATTTGTCGATATCACAAAATCCTGCTGATATGTCACAAGTGTTGAAAGAATTACAAAGTGGATCCATTAAACTACGTTCAATACCAAGATCACCCGGTGGCACACCGATAAAACAAAAACGGTCTCCTACAATCAGGTGAGAATATTTCGTATGTGTAGTGAGAGCCAATTTTCACCACAGTTCTATAACTATTAAAAGTGTGGTCATTTGTTTGTTTGTTCCAGTGGCTCTGATCAATGTGCAATTATCGCTCGAGCATTACACTCTAAATTTTCACATCTTCGTTCTATGATGGACAGTTCTACTAGTGATGAAGAAGAAAGCCAGTCAGATAATCATCTTGACTCTGGTCTAGGACCTGGACGTGAAGATATTTGGTCACCCAAACGTAAACCCAACAGTTCTCCTCATTCACTGGTATGTCATTTCCTTAATCATACTGATCCTGTCTTTAAGATACTAAACGTACAACACAGCTATTATACATATATATATTTCGGGAATTTTAAAATCTAACGCTTAAACTAACACAATTTGATTATGAGTAGACTACTAATGACCTGGGACTGAAGAAGATGCTACAAAGCAGACATCACTTTAGAGCCGACACACCATTCTATTTCTTATTATACAGACCGATAGTGCTCCTTTTTGAGAAATTCTGAAGGAAAAAAAGTAGTATCCTGCAATCTAACTAAGCAGTTAACTGTGTTATTCTATACACTGCCATGCAGTATTATCAACATGATCACGGTCGTGAAGATTTTCTCCGAGTAAAATGTCTAGGCTACGTCAATGCACCTTCGCCAAGGTTATCTCTAGAATATCACTCGTAGTAACGTTGAGACAATGATGAAATATCATTGTCTAAATCGTCCTTTCCATATCAGCTAATGTATTAAGTATTCAAACGATTTTATGTGACTCAATACTTAAGGAGTAACCCAGATATGTCGTTAATACTTGGCAAGAATATCACATAGTTGATAGTTATTTATGTTAATCTTCCCATTAATCAGTTCGCAACATACTGAAGTCAAGCTTGGGTATCGCGTACAGTTTTGACAGTAAGTTCTAATCTAATTTAACTACCCCCACTGACCAAGTTTTTCACATAGGGTAGAGTCACGGTTGAACCGTTTGTAGGCGCTTAGAGTGAGGACACTCGAACAAATAAACCTTATATGCCCCTTACGTTCGGTTTCATGTGCACGTAATACTAACATTTCAATTTGTTCTCTTTCAGATTTTTGGCCAGCATATTCTCCGCCCAGTCAATCGACGTCCAGACAAAGCCAATTAAAATATTCAACACAGATACCTAAGACTTCCACACACTACTACTTTACAGATCCTACGTATATACCATGTCACACCTTACCTACTCTTTCAGACAAGCTATGATTATTAAAATAAATTGCTCTGTTTCATGTTTTGACTTGTTGATAATGTACTTAAGCGTTTCTGTATAGAAAGCTTACATCGGTGATGCTTGATGCTGTATATTTTTCTCTTTATTCTTTGAAGTTATATGTACTGAATGTGCTATATGCTTGCAAAAAATATCGCAGTAGCGTGATTGAATACTAGTAACTTACGAGTGTTTTTATCTCCTACTGGCTACGTTTCGTAGCTGTAAAGTAGAACAGAACGAACTGCTGCGCAGTATACTCGTCCCTTAATTGATAGACGGATATCTGGAATTCGCCATAGTGTTCGAGTAAAGAGCCTTCACAAGGTTTATGTTCTTCTGAGGTACATGTTTCAATGACACTGCCACAGAACCTATCGGTCTTCAGAGTCAAATGCTGCTTCTAAGTGAAGAAAAACCACTATTGTCGGACGGCAATAAGCATGCATGTGTTCTAAAATCTGTCGAATGGTGAATATGTGTTCGATGCAACCACGACCAGGTTTGAAGCCAGCCTGAATGTCTCGTGTTTGCAGTTCAAAAGTCTTAGTTAGGCGCCAGATATTTACTGAGACTAATATTTTAGATGTTATGTTAGTCAACCTAATCACTCTATGGTTATCATAGGATGATTTTGACCCCTTCTTATATATTTGGACAATCGGTGATTGAGGTCAGTCAGATGGGATTGCGTCCAACTCCCAGATTTTAGCTAAAATATTAGACAACGTAATCGCTAAAACTGGACCACTATAGTTAAAGATCTCTAGACCCCATTCATACGGAGCAGCTGCTATTCCTCGTCTCAAATTATCTACATCTTTTTGAAGTTCAACCAATGTAGGGGGACCTACTTCAATGTTCCATGACATGATCAGACGAAAAATTCGCGAGTCTAAACTATATGGACGAGCCAATCAGAAGCTTTCGCGGGTTTTAAAGGTCACGGTGCTAATTTTGGTACCTGATGCTTACGTGTGGTCGGTTTACAACGGATTTTAGAGAAGACGTGATAATTCAGCGTTTACAAGAGAATTGATTGTAAGATCTTCATTTTCAAGCTTATTATTTCTTATTAAACGCGATAGTGCATCAGCATGACCAATGTCAGATGTAGATTTGTAGTTGATAGTGAAATCATAACCCAACAACATTGTAGCCCATCGTTGGAGGTGATTTGTAATATAAACTGGTATACCTTTCTTAGATCCAAAGATCGATAATAGGGGTTTATGATCAGTAAATAAGGTAAATTTTCTACCATGCAGCATTTTGTGAAACTTCTTAACTGCAAAAACTAGTGCCAATCCTTCTTTCTCAATTTTGCTGTACTTGCGTTCTACCAAATTCAACGTTCTGGAGGCATGAGCTATAGCTTTCTCTGTGCCGTCTTCAAACCTGTGGGATATAACAACTCCGCCACCATAATCAGAAGCATCTGCGGCAACAACGATTTCAAGTGAGGGATCAAAATACGCAAGAAGTAAGTCCGATATTAATAGTGACTTTACTTTGTCAAAACTCTTTTGACACTCAGTGGACCAGTTCCATTTTACATTTTTGGATAATATATGGTTCATGGGTGCTCGGAGGCGATGCAATTGTGGTAAAAAGTTACTGTAATAACTGATAAGACCAAGGAACGAGCGTAGAGTTGCATGGTGTAGGCATATTTTGGATAGCTCGTACGTTTCTGAATCTGGGCGTCGTCCATTTTTGTCGATAACAATACCAAGATATTTTACCGAGTCCATGAAAAATTTACACTTCTTTTAGATAAAATCCATACTCAGATATTTTGGTCAAAACAGCATCAAGTCGATCAAATAAATCGGACTTACTGGAACCTGTAACGATAACATCATCCAGATAGACAGCTACTCCTGGCAAAATTGCCAACATAGTGTCCATAATTTGTTGAAAAATAGCTGGTGCTGGTTCCACACCGAAAGGCAAACGTTTATATTGATAAAGACCTCTGTGAGTGTTAATCGTCATTAGTGGTTGGGAGACTGGATCAACTGCTATTTGAGATATGCGTCAGCAAGGTCAATCTTAGCAAAATACTTCCCTCCATTTAGTTTGATAAATAATTCTTCCTGTATGGGAAGTGGATAAGTGTGATCCTCTAAAGCATCGTTTAGACCAGTGGAAAAATCAGCACATACGCGAACAGTCCCATTTGCCTTTCTCACAACTACTATGGGAGCAGCCCACGGTGAGTAATTTACTGGCTGAATGTCACCCAGTGCTTCCAACCTGTCAAGTTCCTGGTCAACGACTGACAGAGCAGCATAAAATACTGGTCGTCTTTTTTGTCTGAAGACAGGTTTTGCATTTTGCTTTAACGACAAGAAAACTTCGGTGAACTTACAACAGCCCAGTTTGTTTAGGAATACACCTGCATGTTTTTGTCGAAGATGGTTTACATGGGATGATGTCGACATTTTAGAGGAATAAGATGCATGAAATTTTGAGATATTACGACAGCATACTTTGTTTGACGAATTTGATGGGGAATCATTTTGTGAACATGTTACATCGGAGTTATTTGATTTAGCATCATTATGAGAACACATTAAATCGGAGGTATTTGATTTGACATCATTATGAGAACACATTAAATCGGAGGAATTCGATTCAGAAATATTACGAGAACATGTTACATCGGAAGCATTTAGTTCATAGACATCAGGGGAACATAACACACCTGAGGCATTTGATTCAGAAATATCATGAGAATTTTGGATAGAATCAGAGCAAGAATTATGAGAACATACTTCATTTAATAAACTATTTAAGACATCGATCTTCTCAATCCAGTCCAATCCCAATAGATCTAAATCATGCCGATTTCTTAGGTAACAAACGTCAGTTAATTTATATTCCTTGAACTGCACGTTGCAGGTGACTTCTCCAGTTAGCTTCACTATGTCGCCTGAAGCATTTCGAGCAACATGCTCTGTTGGTCGGATGCGTGGGCACCCTAGCTTACGCCATGTGTTCTTGGAGATCAGTGTAATGTCGGAAGCAGTGTCTAACTGAAGACGAATAGGTTTTTCATTCACTAATAAGTTCACATAATAATAATAGTAATAATATATTTCTGCATTAGCAGGTACACGCCATTTTTACAGGCATGATCTACAATTTACAACATATACTGGTTCACAGTATGCATCCCAAGCAAGCTTGTTTAGTAATTATAATCTATAAAAGTTGATAGCAGTTCATTCGTTCACATATAATGTGTTTTCATAAGAATAGTTTCCAAAGGGTCATAGCGTCCACGTTATATGCCAGATCCAATCTCGACAAAAAGTGTAATAGGGTTTCGGTAGTTCTAAGTATTTATGTAATGCAGCTTTTTAAGTTTATAGTTGTTGTAAAGTAGGCTTGTGGAGCGCCTGGTTCGAGCTATGACCTTGGGAAAGCGCGTTCGTCAAGCTTGTTCCAGATGTCAGAAGTCACATAGCTTCACCCTCAGAGCAAGATTCTGAAGAGAAAAAAAAGAAAAAGAAACCGAGCAGCAAGGCATTTGGATATGAGCGATAATCAATGCTCAACATTTATTAGTGGAACAGATAGAGGTATGATAAATTATTAGATTAAATTGATGCTAGCTCATTTTGCAAGAGTAAACTGCGATTAGGGGCTCCAGAAGGGAGAAGGCAGTAATAAAGAACAATGAGTTGTGATATTTATCAAGGTGGAGTAGGTTCCA